AAATGTGCACCAACTAAACAAACTAGCTGGCACACACACACACACACACACACACACACACACACACACACACACACACACACACACACACACACACACACACATACACACACACACACAGCACACACTCACCACACAAACACACGCACACACACGCACACACACGTACACAGGCACCCGCATGCACGGATGCATTAAATGGACAGGCACACACCTAGCCCATGCCTCTCTTACCCGAACTCTGACCACCGTGTAGACAAGACTAAGCTGAAAATCTAACACATCAACATCCAGTGAGAACTCTTCACCCGGTGCTGGATACAAGGTGATATTCGACGAGAAGGAAGTTTGAAGCTGCTGTTGCGCCACCGGAAAGACGCCAAACGACGAGTACTGCTCGCGAGATGTACTGAACGGGTCAATCCGGGGTACCCACCAGAAAAGCAACGAGGCCGACCAGGGAACTGTAAGCACGTCGATGTTCGGAATGTTGTACGCGCCCGGCACAAACCTGCTCGTTACCTCGCGTACAAAGTGCTTCTTGAAGTCATCATCTGCACTGCTGTTCAGCCTGTGGAACGCATGTAGACAAAAAGTCCAGTCATGACTCACCAAACAAGGTCCAGTCATGACTCACCAAACAAGGTCCAGTCATGACTCACCAAACAAGGTCCAGTCATGACTCACCAAACAAGGTCCAGTCATGACTCACCAAACAAGCAAGTAAATATGCAAACAAACAGGCAAACAAACAAACAAACAAACAAACAAACAAACAAACAGGGCCATCACACACACACCACCAGACCACCTGTCAAGTGCCTCTGAGTTTTTTTCTAGTTGAAGGAAACCAAACACAAGCAGAATGCATACATGTATCCGCAGTAGACTGTATTTTTGGTTGTTGCCCACTTTGTGGTGCACTTCCCACCAGTTTAGGAGCTGCACCTACACCTTGATTCTTAAGTGTGGCGGCGTTCCTTCGTAAACTCAATCTAACCGCAGGCGTGGCTTCGAATCCCACTTCTGACACCATGTTGCGTTCGGAGAACGCACCTAACAACTCCAGTCTACTCTCAAGATCACTCAGATCGCAACTTCCTTTATTTTTCAAGAACAGAGGTTATAAATCCAGAAGACTCCGGAACATAACAGCAAGCTACATGCACGTACTATGTACAGGGCAGTTCAAATCGTACGGGATTCAGTGTACATGTACACTAGATTGTTCACTTTGCCGCTAACAAACCACAATACAATCGGAAGCACACGGTTGACAGGGTGCGTGCGTAAAACAATACAGATTGTGAATCAGTGGTTGCTGATTGCAAACCACAACAGGTCTCACACGAGAATTAACATTAGACACCCTTAGCAAACAGCGGTAACACTATTTGTTACGGTACTCGAACCTTGATCACCCAAATAGCGTTGAAGCTGCAGCGTAAAAACGCTATTGGGGCTGATTTATCGTTGTGACAAACGGTATGTTTTTGGCCAAATATTGCATAGTCCATACGCATTTCACCTCGTATCGCGTATAATTATGGTGACATAAATGGTTGTACCGCGCGAAACGAGAGAGCTTGGAAGCTCAGGGCCCTACGCTATGCTTTTTTGCCTTGATGACCTAAGCAAAAAAAGCATAGTAAATTTTTCATTTCTCCTATTTTTTTTCAAGACATAACCTGGGATTCGAACCCGCACTATCGCCCTGCATGCATCCCCCTATACACTTCGCATACATAATAATTCTTCCAAGTTGCTTCACGTTATGATCTTGCATTTGAAAGCCCTATTTGAATATTGTGGCCAGCTGTCTTTGATGGTACGGTACGGTACGGGACAGGTACGGTCGAGGGTAATATGACACCGTCTACCACCTTGATGACGAAGGCGAAACAGCATAGGGATGTTATAAATTTTTCAATTCTCCTATTTTTTCAAGGCATAACCTGGGATTCGAACCCGCACAATCGCCCGGGCCTACATGCATTACCCGATACACTTCGTATTCATACTCATTCTTCCAAGTTGCTTCACGTTATGATCTCGCATTTGAAAGCCCTATTTGAATAATGTGGCCAGCTGTTTGTGGCCAGCTGTTTTTGATGGTACGGTACGGGACAGATACGGGATAGCGCCAGACGGAGGTCTGTCTGCCATAAACAAACAAATAAACACCAAATTAAAGCTGTGTGGACCCTGGCTAGCGCCAGGTGTTACTGAAGTAACGTCTTCTGCATAGTTACGGGAATAAAAGCTATTCTCGTGGCAACAGCGTACTAAAAATAGCGTTCATCTTGCTAAAGGTCGAACCCAAATCACGGTATTTTCCCTCTTACGGTAATACCGTTAGAACACAACGTTTTTTGCTAAGGGTGTCTATTGTTTTCCCTTTGCCGCGGGGTCACGTGGATCTGATGTACAACACTTCGCACCACTTTACGAGTACATTAGGAGCTACACACAGTGATTGGCGCTGCATCTGCCATCATGATATCTCAGACATGGTGGTAACGACCTGGCATGCAAGCAGCACTCCCCCAGTATGGTGGTGTTTCTCCCTGGCATGCAAGCAGCACTCCCCCACTGAGTATGGTGGTGTTTCTCCCTGGCATGCAAGCAGCACTCCCCCAGTATGGTGGTGTTTCTCCCTGGCATGCAAGCAGCACTCCCCCACTGAGTATGGTGGTGTTTCTCCCTGGCATGCAAGCAGCACTCCCCCAGTATGGTGGTGTTTCTCCCTGGCATGCAAGCAGCACTCCCCCACTGAGTATGGTGGTGTTTCTCCCTGGCATGCAAGCAGCACTCCCCCAGTATGGTGGTGTTTCTCCCTGGCATGCAAGCAGCACTCCCCCAGTATGGTGGTGTTTCTCCCTGGCATGCAAGCAGCACTCCCCCAGTATGGTGGTGTTTCTCAACACAATTATTGTGTAGCCTGTTGTAACAAGTAAGGCGGAACAGAATTTTATTGCAACTCAGAGCTTCACGCTTGCGCGATCATCAGGAAAAACATTTTTCTGGTATGAAACGGGGAATGGGGTCTTGTTATATGCACAGCAAAGTAAGTGCCTGCTGCTGCTGCTGCTGCTGCTGTTGCTGCTGTTGTTGTTGTTGTTGTTGTTGTTGTTGTTGTTGTTGTTGTTGTTGTTGTTGTTGGTGGTGTTGTTGGTGTTGCTGGTGTTGTTGTTGTAGTCTTTTGTAACTCGGACATGCGAACTTTACTCTTTGTCATGGTGGCACGTGTATAGGGTTGTACTAGAGTCAGTCCAACTGACTGCAAGCCAAGCTGTCGCCACATGTTCCTCTACTACCGATGGACCGAGGTGCACAGGTAAGGCGAGCAGTGCAACAAGTAGCGGGAGGGCTCAATTAAGCGTACATTCTGTTTTGCCGCTGCTTTTAGTCCACTCAAAGTACTGGACAGAGTGGAGTAGAACACATATTTAAGAAAAGGAGAAAGTACTGTGTGTGTGCGTGTGTGTGTGTGTGTGTGTGTGTGTGTGTGTGTGTGTGTGTGTGTGTGTGTGTGTGTGTGTGTGTGTGCATGGAAGTGCGAAATCGCAGATCTTCCCTTTTTGGTAGATCGTTGATGCCTAGTCCCAATATTCCACATCCTTACCACACTGTCCTTAGTACAATTACATCATATCACTGTGTTGAGAACAAGTGCATTCCTATGGACGTACTGATTGCTCGTACCTGTAGCTGGTACACACTTCATTGACCTCTGCTAGCTTCAATCCTACTGGAGCTGCTAGCTTCAATCCTACTGGAGCTGCTAGCTTCAATCCTACTGGAGCTGCTAGCTTCAATCCTACTGGAGCTGCTAGCTTCAATCCTACTGGAGCTGCTAGCTTCAATCCTACTGGAGCTGCTAGCTTCAATCCTACTGGAGCTGCTGGCTTCAATCCTACTGGAGCTGCTAGCTTCAATCCTACTGGAGCTGCTAGCTTCAATCCTACTGGAGCTGCTAGCTTCAATCCTACTGGAGCTGCTAGCTTCAATCCTACTGGAGCTGCTAGCTTCAATCCTACTGGAGCTGCTAGCTTCAATCCTACTGGAGCTGCTAGCTTCAATCCTACTGGAGCTGCTAGCTTCAATCCTACTGGAGCTGCTAGAAGAAAGTAGAATCTACTGTTTTGGGTAGAGAGCAAGTAATGCATCTACTGAACTCGGTGGTTTCTTCCGAAACCTGCAGATCAACAATGAACGATCCTTAAAACTCACACACCACCCAACTACTTTGCTACAGGACTTTGTATGTACTGAAGTATGCCGTTCTGTGGCAAGGTAGTGGTGGTGCATGTCTAAGACAGTGGACAGTGGACAGTGGACGCATACACATACCCATGCTTTGCAATGTCCTGAGCAATGTTGTCACGATGACAGCCATGCTCGTACACCAGCGTGGTGCCATTCAGGAACGGCTTCAGACAGTCGCAGGACGCCCTCCGGAAGATGATCCAGAACGCAGCGGCTGCCACGGAGACGACCTGCGTGACGCCTCCGATGCTGGAATTGGTCTGTGCAGTCACATTCGGTAGGTACGGCTCACTGGAGCACGGAATGACACTCGGGGCAAACACGTTGTATCCAATTGGTGCCAAGTTGTTCAAGAATAGCAATCTCTGGAGATCAGGGAGATACACAACAGATTGCGGCGGCACTGCATTCATGAGTATGCACCCTCAAGTATACCGTTGATCAAAACCTTCTTCACAGTCTTCAGCAATGTACTTGTGTGTACTGTATTTCCCGAATATAAGTGGACTCTTTACGACCTAAAACGGAACTAAAAAGGGGGTAGTCGACTTACAATAAGGGTTTAGGAATCAGGCCGGGTTTAACTGCCATTAGACCGGGAAATTGAGGTCCCAAGTATGGGGCTTCGACTCATAACCGGGAAAATACGGTAATTTCGCTACCAGTGACCAGGACTGTTCATGTAGAGGATACGGTTCCGAATAGGAAATAGGTTGCAAACCGGAAGGTCTCAATATTTCGATTCAACTTTAAGTTTCAGTGCCCACGTTAACTCCCTCAGGGAAGACATCGGAAAGAAACTAGGTGCTTTTCGACGTGGAAGGAGGAACCTTGCTGTCCAGGCCAGAAGGCAGTTCTACTTGTCAGTAGTCCAGAGCAAGCTCGAGTACGCCAGCACTGCCTATGTCCACTGCCTCGCTGACAATGTGAGAGATCAGCTGCTACGCATAAGTAAGAGAGCACTTAGATGCATATTTGAGCATGACACATTCACGCGGACATCATACTTGCTTGAGCGATACCACATAATTAGCTTAGACAAATGATATCATACTAAGTCCATATTCTTCGTGTTCCGTTGCATCCACAATATCTGCAGTTCACTCCTCTCTGACATGTTCTCCCTTCGCCGTGACTGCGCTCACACAGACAGAGTAACCTGCGGCCAAGTCAATTATTCCCTTTCCTTACCCATTGTGCAAGCCCAAGCTGGATACAGATCTATTTCATTCCTTGGTGCTGACCGCTTTAATGCGCTTCCCGAATCCCTTCGCACAAATCATATCCCCAATTCATTTCGCCAGGAACTTAACAATTTCATTCATCTTGGGCACCCTGTAAGAAGACCTTAGGGTCTGTTGGGAATGCCCAAGTAAAATAATAAAATACAATACAAAAAAAATATATATATATATATATTCACTTTCTCTCTCGGTATTTTGATTAGAAAACATAATATGGCACACTGCGACTACGATGTATTTTACTCCGAGCCGAAATCCCATAGCTCTGAGATGACCAGAAGTGTCAAACCAAGCAGGTGAGTTTTTGACGTATTGCTTCCCACTGCGACTTGAGTTTTACGTCTTTCGAAAAATCAACTTCTTGTCGCAGGTAAACAGCGGCTCACATCTCGCCAATAAAGCACCGTATACCAATGAAAACCAATGGAAGCACACACAAGGCTTATTGTTGCTCTGTACTGGCCGTCGTGGAGCGATAGCAATTACCCAATTTCAGAACTCAGAGTGAATTTGACGTGCACTCTAAAACCTTTCCGGTTTGGAGCCACCACTGATTTGAAACGAAAATCGGGCAGCCTGGAGGCAACGGGCCAACGCAAAGGAGTGGTTCAGTTCGATCGACTCTGGCCTCAGAGTACACTTCAACACGCCAGTTTCCTTCCACAAACATATTTCGAGTGAACAATCCACGCTGATGATTGGTTTGGGTCTAAAAATGTTTGCTGTCAAACCATTCCTATTTGAAACCGTCTCTTCTACGGTGCAGCTTCAATTTGTCCGACCCCGGCACCTGGACAGAACCCATTCTGGAAGAGAAGTGTGGATAACCCATGTCTGGAAGAGAAGTGTGGATATACAGCCTGGGCCAGAACCCATGTCTGGAAGAGAAGTGTGGATATACAGCCTGGGACAGAACCCATGTCTGGAAGAGAAGTGTGGATATACAGACTGGAGTGTGCAGTACTACTCGCTCGTACATGCTAGTAGAATTGTTAATTATCATTTTTGCTGTGCGTCAAATAGGCGAATGCCCCTCCCCCCCCCCCCCCTCCTCCATTGAACACAGTATGGGCACGGGGTTGGACCCCCTTACCCCCCCCCCCCTCCCCCCCCTCTCCACCCCGTCCCCTTCCCACGCCGACCAGATAAAGGATTCAGCCCATGGTTTGTCATTTCAAAGTTACTTTGCCTTATGGCGGCTTTGGATGTAAGGTTACAATCACTCAAATGTATCATTTTAAAGTGAAATAGGTCATGTTGTGACCTCGACAGAACAGGATGGATTGACAAGACAGATTTTCACTCTCATTCTAGACTTGCAACATGCTGGGTCACCTAGTTTCACACATACTTACCTGTTGTAATGGAAGTATTATCAACATACTTGTAATTTAGGATACTCAATCTCTGTCTCTCTCTCTCTGTCTCTCTCTCTCTCTCTCTCTCTCTCTCTCTCTCTCTCTCACACACACACACACACACACACACACACACACACACACACACACACACACACACACACACACACACACACACACACACACAGACACACACACACACACACACACACACACACACACACACACATGCACACACACTCTTTCTTTCTCTCACCGTTCCACTGGCATTCTGCATACTGCTCAAGGAGTGATGCACTGTGGTGGCCGGCGGTGTTTTCAGAAAGCAAGTTTTCTCGGACAAGCCAAGCTTCCAGCGACTCTCCACCATCTCGACGAGGGAGAGGGTCGATGACAGCCTATCTACATAGACAGCGCCACCCTGAAGACTGGCAGAGTTGCTCACAAATCGTATGGTTGAGTTCTGGTCCAGACCAACAGCACACAAGGAACACGTGCACACACACATACACATAGCAGACTATTCAGTCATCACATAATTGTCACAGCTTCAAACCTACTGGATGCCCGGAGAACTCCCAGATGCAGGCAAACTGAGAAGGAACAGCTCTCCAAGGATCCTTGCAATCCCAATGCCGCTGGGTGTGGGTACCCTAATATCAACGGCATGTTCCACATATAGCCCATCGCTACTGCTCTGCACCTGAATATCACCACTTCAAATGTTTTACAGCTGGGTTAGCAAGAGAAATGTGAGTAGAGTGCCTGTCCCAAAGCCATGCAGTGGCAGTCATGCCAACATGATGTCATCCTTTTCGTCTTAACTTCGGCCACAAGCAAGTCTTGCCTATCCCTCAATGCCGCAGTCCACACATATGTATGCATGCACACACATGCACACACACACGTGCACACACACACACACACACACACACACACACACACACACACACACACACACACACACACACACACACACACACACATGGACACACACGGACACATACAGACAGTACAAGAATACACACACACCTCTGCCACGGTGATTTCACTCTCGTCCACCACTGAGATAGCTCCACCAGTCCTTGCCATGTTGTTGGAGAAGAGCATATCACCTTCCATGTGAACCAAGGAGGACAACATTGCCAGTGCACTCTCCCTGTTCGAGTCAAAAGTGCTGTAAAGGCAACAGAATATGAATGACAACAGTACGACCAGGCTGAGAAATAGCTGTCTTCTATTTAGAGACTTTACAAACATTGGGTATACTTGTTTGCCCAGTTTTGGGCCATAATAATTATTGTGATATTGAAGAAATCTTTTTTTTTTAAATGAACCAGCTATCATGTGTGTGTGTTGCAAGCACGCCGTCCTTGTACATGTTTTCACTGTGCACTGTGATACCTGCAGTTGCGCAGGAAGCGGAGGCAAAACGATGCTACCCCCCCCCCCCCCCCCCCCGTCTTACCAGTTATTCAACTTGAGCGATGACAGTTGCACATAGATACCACTTCCCGATTGGGCTGAATTTCTTCGAAAGGAGCATCCGGAGATTTCCGCTTGGTACTGCAGGTTGCCCACCAATTGGCTGGCTGTCTCGAGCAGAGTCGTTATGACAATTGTTCCAGGCATGGTGGCTAGAATGAAGCCTGTCACGCTGCTGGTGATCGTGCAGTCACGCATGATGAACTTGTCGCTCAGCTCCAGCCTCGCCGGTGCACCGGGAACGCCGCCGACGAGGCCGCTGAAAGCTACTCGCGCCACCGAAGCCTCCAGCTGTGCACGGTTGCCGTGGAAGATGCATTCGCGCCGTGGTGACGCGGACACGACCACTGTGTTGCTGCCTTCGTTCAGGAAACGGACAAACAGTGCGCCACCCATGTAGCCCAGATTTTGATTGAAGGCACAGCCTGCGAAGGTGACCTGGTTCAACAGTGCACCGTCTTGAAAGATCACGACTACAGCCGGGTCATAGGGCGATCGGTTTTTCTCGATAAGGGAATCCATCAGCAGGACTCTCCTATTCGCCGATGCCGGGCTAAAATGAATGTGCATAGCCGTCGCCTGGCCAATGTCCTGTAACTCGGGGAACCGGCGATAGTAAACGCCCGTGCGGTTTTGCGCGCCGCAGCCGGAAATGTTGCTGCTCACCATGGTAACGTCAGAGCCGTTCAGCTGTGCAGTCCAGTCAGCCTCAGCCACCGTAGCCCCACCACCGACGCCGCTGCCACCGGTACCAGCGCCATTGTCGCCAGGCGAGTGCGTCGCGGGCGTGTCGAAGCGAATCACCACGGCAGCAGATGTGTACGACGCGTTGAGAGCGGTGCTTCGTGGCAATGGCGTTTGCCCGGTGAAGGAGTTTTGTCTGATGAGCACCATAGATGAATCATGAAGAGCAAGACCATGCGCATTCAGACCAATGCCGGTATACGTGCATTGATCCACCAGCACTTGCTGCGAATGCAGTATTTGAACTGCTACACCAAGGGAATTTCCCATTTGAAACTCTAGTCCATTGATTGTGATATTGGTACAGTGGTTGACCTCCAGGAATGCCATGCGTGATTGCTGGAACTTTAGTATCAAAGCGGCGGAGGCCTGGAAAACAACATTGCTGGCGTTGGAGAGGGTTTGCCTACGGGTTACACCCGACTGCGAGCAGTCCTCCAGGTAGATTGTCAACGGCTCGGCTGCACTGGTGCCATTGCCCCGCGGCGGCACTGCTACCGAGTCGTATGCCTCCTGAACAGTCCAATACGCTGTGGGTAGAATGCATCCGCACGTAACCGTTGGTTCGCAGTCCGATGAAGTGCTTGCCGATGTTGGACCGCTTCCGCCGCCGCCCCCGCTGCTGCCACCGACCTGGACAATGCGAAATTCGCCCTGGTCTTGCTGGCCCCATGCCATTCTAAGCATCAACCACAGAACGCACAGCGCTACCGACCGGTGCGACCAGCAACCCCTCTCCGGCGCTTGTTTGTGTCTACTCCCAAACGACATGGTCATCGCACGCGCAGGTTCCCAGTCTTCAGCTGCTCCTTGGCATACCGCTGACCGAGTGCCGTTTACACTTCAAAGACTTCGTGAAGTAAAAAAACTATTTCGGATAAAAGGACCAAGAGAAAAATTGATTTCTCAGGTTCTTCTTGATGAATGATCGCTTGTCAGTGTTTCGACATCAGTTTGTCATTTTCGTGAAGCGCGAAGATATTATTATTAGTGATACATGCCATGGTTATTACTCCATGGCCTGGGTCCTGGTCCATGCTTACTATGCCATGCCCATTGCATTGGCTGCCAACCAGGGAGTCGTAGATTTACTCAAACCAGTTTGGGTAGACCAGGCCGGGGTCTACGACTCCCTGTTTTTTTAGGCTGTTGCCGCGTAGATCTATGTCTTCCTTCGACTTCGAGTTGATGCATGATCACGAGGATGACCGACGTAGATCTATGGGTGGGTGGCCTGGTTCCTAGCTGATGGGGTCATCTCATCTGTACTGAGTGAGTGAGTCTGTGGTGGCCCGGCTTGCGCTGACAAGGAAGGCGCCCAGGATTCTAGGAAATCATTATGGTCAAAACACAACAACGGGGACGACGTCATCACAGAAGTAACTACATGATTGTCATCATCATCACAAGCCGGCCATACCTGTCGGGGCGTCACAGAGCAAGTATGAACAAGCGAGCGCCATAAAAATCGATCGCGTGCAGCAGCGAGCAGGGACTGTACGTCAAGGGCAGTCCATGAAATAATTATTATTATCAAGCCATGACATTCTTCTGGGCCTGCCTCGGCCACGACCTCCAGCAACACAACCCTGAAGAATAGTCAATGACAAACAGCCGGAACGAACAATATGACCAAAAATTGCAATTTCCTTTTACGAACAGAAACAATAAGTGGGACTTGCTTGTGAATACTATTTTTTCCTCTCTAACAGACACATTCTTCTCGCTCCACATATACTGGCATACACAGAGACATAGACACAACACACAAAGTGAAGGGTAGTTGGCCGCAGCCAGATGTGAACCGGATAACGAGTGAGGTATGGAGGCAAGCAAGGACTGAGAACAGAGTGTCTCAGATAGAATAGGCGTGCCAGTGGATAGCAGAAATAGGCCATGATGCAGAACCACTTGGGACCGTCAGATTAATTTTCCTGGACCGAGCCAGCCAGGAAAAAACCCTAGCGTCGACGGACGCATTTGTGAGGGAAAAAACGGGTGTATATCCCCAATGGCGATTAGGCATCATGTAGGCATGGCAAGCACATCACGGCAAACAGTGATAAAAAGCATTGATAATATGCACAGAAATAAAGGGTGGGAGGGCAGGAACACTGGTGAGACTCAAAACTGAATGAAGAAGTCAGGAAAATAAGCGACAACAAAGAACACACCAGATGCCATATTTGCAATTGAAAATATTTCGCGGGAAATCATTTCTCGCCTATCTCGCTGCGCTCGGCCGGCGAGAAATACAACGTCCGGTGATCAGTGAACGGAATCCTGAGAAGGCGTCGATAGCTTCTCATTTCGAAAGCCTCGATCTTTTTCACAATTTCAGCAGTTAAGGTCCAAGACTGGCAAGCACAAAGGAATGTGGATAAAACAATAGCATTGAGTAGACGTAATTTCGAGCCGATACTGATGTTTCTATCCCTCCAGATTGTTACTAGTCGTGTAACAGCAGCCGGAGCTGCTGCGATCCGACTCCTCACTTCTTTGATTGAACGCTGATCATCAGTAATCGTGCTACCCAGATATTTAAACTCGTCAACTTGCTCGAGCTGCTTCTCGTCGATGGCTATGCTTACGGACAGACCTTTGCTTGCTCCCGTTACCAGCAGCTTACTCTTCTCAGTGCTGATTTCCATGCCTTATGATTTTGATGTGCTGGCCAGCCGGCCAGTAAGGTCTTGCAGTTCTTCCTCGCTGACAGCCACCAGATCTATGTCATCTGCAAATCGCAGGTCTGTTATATTATTATAATGCGTCCACCAATGCTAATGGAACCTGCGAATCCCTCTAATGACCTAGACACCAGTTCTTCCAAGAAAATGTTGAATAGAGAGGGTGATAAAATGCAACCTTGCCTAACACCAACGGTGGCATGGAACCAACTGCTAACCGTTGTTCCTACTCTTCCAGCATTCTCGGACTGCTGGTACAGGGACTCGATCAGTGTGATGATATTCGGGCTAAGCCCACACTTGCGCATTATCTTCCACAGAGCTGCGTGCCACACTCTGTCAAATGCCTTGCGAAAATCGATGAAATTGTTATAGGTTGGTCTCTGATGGTCACCATAACGCTCTGCCAGTGTACGGATGTTGAATATCTAATCCACAGTACTACGGCCTGCTCGAAACCCAGCCTGCTCCTCGCTCAGCAGATCTTCGATGCAAGGTGTGAGACGGTTGAGTGGAACACGCAGCATTACTTTACTAGGGTGACTTATCAACGAGATGGTGCGATAGTTCGTGCACTTTCGGAGGTTGCCTTTCTTTGGTAGTGGGATCATGATTGACCGGCACCATTGCCGTGGCCACGTGCCGGACGACCATATCTTGTTACAGATGGTTGTCAATATGTCAATGACGAAATCGCCACCCTCTTTGAGTAACTCTCCTGGGATCATGTCATCGCCGGGCGACTTGCCTGCCTTCAAGTTATCTACAGGAGCAGATACGTCCTCCTTGAGTATCGATAGATCTCTGTCATCATCGTTGAGTGGCATTCCTAGCTCCAGATCATCCAGTAGCGCCATGTCAGGGTTGATGTTGTAGGTATAGGTCAGAGCAATACTCCGCCCAGCGATCGGCTACTTTCTTGCTTTCCGTAAGTAGCTTTCCATCCTTGTTCTCAATGACATTAGACTTGACAGTGGGCTTCGTCGTCAGCTTCCTGATGGTTTCGTAGGGTTTCTTTGTGTTGTTAAATTTAAGGTCGCACTCTATCTCCTTGCAGGCTCCTTCAATCCACTCTGCGTTGGCTTTCCGGGTCTTCACTGCACGGCATGCCTGGCGATATTCTGCCATGGAGGCATCACTTTCGTATCAGGTCGATTTCTTCACTCGCCTTGCGTCACATAGCTGCAGGACAGCGTTGGTCATCCATTCTTTAATTTTCTTCTTGAGTTTCCCTAGATGTGTGCGGGCAGCATCATTAATTTTATCGTCTTTGTGAATTCATCCGTTAACTCCTGAACATCCATGTCCCTGTCCGCAAGAATGCCAAACCGACTACCGACCTCCGCTTGACAAGCGTCACGCACAGCATCGTTTTTCAGCTTATCCACATCGTATCTCGCTTGCAGCATAGCTTTCTTCTTGTGTGCACGCAACTTCAGCTGCATTGTCATTAGCAACAAGTCGTGGTCAGTAGCGATGTCAGCGCCCGAATTGTATTGTATTGTATTGTATTTATTTAAAAGGATTCTCCAAAAGCAAATGGATGCTTATCACGGAAGTCTCCCACATAAATATCGCAAGAAAAATGGGGAAATGGGGGAGAGGAGAGTGGAAGATGAAGCATGGGAAGAAGGGAAACAAGTACCTAAATATCGAGGTATAAAAGCAGGAAAGAAATCGACGAGGGAAGAAATCACCTCTGCAGATAATAGCGGGACATTTAGATGAAAAAACCCCAGCAAGGATTAATTTCAAGGAAAAAAATTTCTCAAACGGAAAAGTTCGGAATTCCAGTCAGAGAATACACACGCGTGAGACGATGCACGACACTGGACTTGAAACGACTGCTTACTAGAATCTGGTTGTGTGTTCTCCCATCAGGTGAATGCCATTGTAGTTTGTCTTGATGGTTTATGAGGATACATGCCATGGTGTTGGCCAGGATGAGGTTATCTGGTTATTCAGTTTGGCAAACTCCAGTACTACTACTAGTACTAGTAGTAGTAGTAGTAGTAGACCCCTATCATTGGTACGGCCATAACCATGATAGCCATGGGGACCAGCGATGCCAATCCAATCAGGGAATGCGTCCGTCCCAACTATTCTTAATCTTTGGCATTCCAGTCTCCCTGCATGCACTATCAAGTAGGGGCGTGCACGGGTAGTCGGGTACCCGTGCTACCCGTGAGGACCTCGGGTACTGTAAATATACAACATTTCGGCGCTGCAAAATTTCGGCACTTCGCGATTTTTGACATTTCGGAGGCGATTTATTTTCGGCGTGGGGTAGAGGGCATAGTGTATTTTTTTTTTTTTTCAAATATATATATTTTTTTTCCAGTGTATAAAACAATTTTACAAATATCCACGCAAAACGAAAGCAGAACGGTAGCCAAAAATAATAATTTAGTGCGAAAATAAGAAAAATAAATAATAACACCCGAAAGCGCTAAATACAAAATCAAGAAAAAGGGAAATTATAAACCATGTAGCGCTAATGTGCACCAAATAATAAGTTAAATGATAATAAAGCCGAGTGAAAAACACAAGAAATCATAACAAAAGAAACAAACTAATAATACGAAAAAAGAGTAATAATACTAATGGGAGAACTCTCATAACATCGATTGCAGGAGTCTGTTCAAGGAGGATCATTCAGTTATCGGAGCCTAGCCTCGGCAACCACGAGATCTACCGAAGCAGCTGTGACGGAGGGAGTGAAGATCGGACGACGAGCTCCACGTAGGCAGGCAATGCAGGCACGAAGAAGCGCAAAGCTTACCCGGCAGCGGATCCATGCCATTACCCTGGAGTAGGGGTCCTGGCACTTTTCCGATAGCATGTCAGCAATGCGCTTGTATAGCGATGTCGCTGACTTCCCCATGCCTCCAGATGTGGAGAGAACGACGGGGCAGAAGGAGCCATGCTCGACTTCACAGACTCGCTCCTCATAGCAACGCCGTTTCTCTCGCTCGTGACGCTGGTAGCTGGAGGGGACTGAAGTGGTACGGTTTGAGCTCGCAAACGGGTTAAAAACCCTTACATCAAAAAAGGTGCGATCAAACCGTCCACCCCAGACACCACTCGCAGCTATATCCAGCCGCGCTTGAGGGTTGGTGATGGCAGAACGATGCCTGAAGGATTCGCCAGTGATAGGTTGCAGGTGTGGCTCGAGCACGACACTGTGGGCAACACGCTTGAGGAGAGACGCCG